GGTCTCCCGCTCGCGCGCCGCCCCGCGCCGCTGCGGCTTTGTACGGGGCCGGGCCGGCGCCGTCTCCTGCCGATCGCGGCCAAAACAGGCTTGAGGAAGAAGTTCCCGCACGATTTAAGCGAACGCAGACGGGAAGGAGGGCGCAGCCGCAGCGAGGCCCCCAGAAAATAAAGTGGGCACCCCCAGCCGCACGGCGGGGCGGGCGGGTCAGCGAGGACTCCGAAGGAGACTTTGCCATGCTGTCGTTCTGACCGGATGTGTCCGTCTTTCTTTGCAGGACTGGAAGGACCTTCCAGAATGCCAGAGGAAAGTTCCCCAAGACGGACCCCTCAGAACGTTCCGTACCAGGACCTGCCCCACCTGGTCAACGCAGATGGACAGTACCTCTTCTGCAGGTACTGGAAGCCCGTCGGCCCGCCCAAGTAAGTCCTCACGGCCGGCCTGGCTGCCCTGCACCTGCGCCCGCCTCCCCTTCCCTTCCCCCCTCCCGTGCCAGCGAGGCCGGGCACCGGGCACCGAACTGGTTGCTGTAAAATGAAGACGCACACATGCTCTCCTTTCATGGTAACAACTGGGATACAGACTCTACTGGGTGGCGATCTTCAGAAATGTCACCTGACGAGTTTTATCCAGCACTCACCTAAAATCAGCCCAAACAATTAAGGAATCCCCGAAAGGCATAGGAAAACGAAAATTGCATGTGGTGTGTGTGTGTGTGTGTGTGTGCGTGTACGTGTACGTACACGTACTTGCTCTCTCTTCCTGCTTTATTCTGAGCTTTGGAACGGGGAGTCTGGGTGCTGCTATGAGAAGGCCCCTTTCCTATGAGCAGCCCGGTCCTCCTTGGTGTTGGAGATAGGCCTTGGGCAGGCTGACAGCTGGCCTCCGCTGCTCTGCTGCTCTTGGACGAAGCAGGAAAATTCTGCTGTGGGTGTCAGTCAGGGAAAGAGATTATTTGTGGCAACCAGTTGGCCTGGTGACAAGGGAACGTTTCCTGTGCCCTCTTCCCTTTCCAAGGGCTGTTTACCTGGCCCCTCAGAGCTGGGCCGTCCTCCCTTGTCTTCAGTGGTGGTGTGTGATTCAGGCAACTGGGTACTCCCAGAGTGGACACGAGGACTTGGGAGTCCTGGGCTGGAGCCATAACTTCAGGGGTGGCTAGAGGACTTGTGATTGTTTTCTCTAATGGACCGCAATCCCGTCAGTCCTGCAGGATCTCCTCTAGAGGAAAGGGTGTGCGTGTGTGCATGCGTGTCACCTAGTCTTTAATTCTGACTGAACTGGCTTAACTGGCGGTCACATCCTAGTTTAATTTCTAACAAAGTGTTATGTGGTGAGTGATTTGATTCATGTGCAATACAGAGGAGTCCATTCTTAATGCCCAGCCCATACTTGGGTGGCTTTGTCGGTTCAGTGTAGTGAGGGTGTCCTAGTTTGGAGTTAGAAAAAGAAAGAGGGCCTGGAGGCCTGGGGGGGGGGGGGAGGGGGGACTGGCGGGGTGGCCCAGTTGGCTGCCCTCGCCTTGACTGTGGGTGGTTTTCAGAACCTCCGCCCAGTGGCCCACAAGTGGCTCTCTGCCAGGCTGCTCTTGCTCTGCAGAGGTAACCCACCTCCATTGACGAAGGCCAGCCGCCTCTTGGAGGTCAGCGGCTGCTGTGGGTGTGGACAGGATTGAGCCCTGGGGTCAGAAGAAAGGCAGGTAGAGAAGAGGAAAGGAGAAGTACCGTGGGGAGCAGCCCTGACACGGATTGCGACCAATCAACCAGCCTTTGCCCCTCACGAACTTCCGTCCCATGATGGCAGTGATTCCAGCCCTTGTCACCACCCACCCCTGCTTCCTGGAGACAGGATTGATGAGCTCCCTTAGGGGCTTGAGGGCAGTCTGGAAACATTTTACAACTGACTCTACCTAGAACAGGGTCCTGGAAGCCCCCTGGAGTAATAGGTGCAGCCCCGTGATTGCTGGGCCAGGAGCGGGCCAGGTGGCTCTGGAGAAGGCCCATAGCAGTGGGGGTGTTAGGGAGGTACGGGCTTGGGCGCAGGGGTGCTGCGGGGAGTGGGCTCAGGGTTGGGCAGCTGCCGGACAAGCATCTCCAGATCTGATAGGAGAGCAGCTGCTGGCTGGCTGGCTGCCCCCTTACGTGGCCTCTGGAGTCGTGTAGTTTGCTGTCTGGAAGAGGCTAGGTACCTCAGGTCATCTTGGACTTGGGCCCTCTCCTCCCCCAGGCCCTTTCCTTCTGCTCCCTGCAATAGGCCCCTCCCGTGCACAATCCGGCCTCCTCTCAGCTGGGTAGGAGGGAACAGGAGGGGAGAGAAAGAAAGGAAACTGATCCTGGCTGAACTTGTTCCACCAGTCAGGGCCACAGGAACCCACCTCATCCCCACCTGGTCTCTACCATCTTTCCCAGAGTGGTTGAGACCTCAGGAGGCCTTGGAGGCGGAGGGAGGGCTGGGCCTGCCTTGGCCACTTGGCTCTGGTTTGGGTTGATCTCCTGGACAACAAGCTGCCCTCTGCTCCCTGGACCTCCCAGGAGCATTCCACCCTCAGCAGAACTTGCCGGACGCCAGGCCTGGCGCCGCAGGTGCTCACTCACAGTCTCTGCTGCACGCTGGCCAACCGGCCTAGCCTGCTTTCTGGAAACAAGTTATGTAAATTCCTCAGACTGACAGACACGGAGAAGAAAGTGCGTGTTGGGTAGTCACTGCGCTCTGTACAACACAAGGCTGTGTTTAATAGAGCAGGCTAGAGTTCCTGGGTTATTATGATCAAAGCATTCATACTTCCGTGTGTCAGTCCTACTCAGCAGTATATACAGTCCTTAAAAAATATTTTTACTAGTTCTGGTAGATGTCTTCTGAACTGAATACCAAGTAGGGATCTGGGGTCTGGAGTAGACTGGCACAGACTAGATCTCAGTTAGGGTTCACAGTGATCTTCGAGACCAGCTTTGGTGGTGTCCTTGCTGCCCTCTGTGGGAGGAAACAGGTCCCCCGTGGTGGCTTGACCTGCATGTCCCAGCCAGCAATACCTGGCTTTGTTCTTCTTGACAATCCACCCACCGTGCCTGTCAGATTTTACCCATGGGGTTGTGTTTTCCTGTGCAGATGATATCCTAGGGTAAAAAGAAAGAGTAATCAGTTCTCCAGAATCTTGTATTCCATCTGTGAAACGAGAAGTAGATTAAAAACAAATATTCAGTCTTACGCCCTGGCAACTCTTATCGGGACCCCATCCTGGGACTCCTTCAAATACTGTGGGTTTTTTTCTTGTTCTTTTTTTTTTAAGGTGGACTCCCACTGCAGGTGTAGTCATTGCCAGGTGTTGAGGGGCCCAGGGGCCTGGGACTCTAGAGCTGGGAGGCTCAGGGTTACTCTGAGTGCTGGTCTATTCCATCTGGCGGCCCTCGTCCACCGAAGCGGAGCCTTGAACGGATAACTGGGAGTGATGTGGACACATGGCTGCAGGGGAGGTGCCTCCGGCCCCTGGCGAATGGTTGAGTAGCACTAGGAGTAGGGGTAGCAATTCGTCCTGAATGCTGATTTGATGACTTAGAGGCCCCCAAAATGTATGACCCGGAAGGCTGGAGAACTTGGTAACCCTCCAGCTCTGACCCCCACCAGGTGGCTGCTCAAGGCAGGAGGGAGTTTGCCTCACCTGTGTGCAGGTGCTAAGTGTTTGGGTTGAGCACAGGTGTGTCCTTCAGTCCAGTGCCCCTGTGCTTCCTGCATTTGACTTCAGTGGTTGTAGAAGTGCACGTCTCCTGTGCTGTCCCGAGACAGTGTGTCCTGGGCTGGGGGTGAGAGGCCTCGAGAACTGAGTCTCGGGGCCTCCGAAAGCCTCTTTCTCTTGTATCTCTCTTGGCATTTTGTTCTGCACTCCCCCACACTTGCTGAGCTCTTCCCAAACCTAAGCCTGTCCGCCAGTCCTCCCTGGCTCTGCCTTTTTGTTTCTCATTTCAGACTTCAGCACTGTGGTCTTCCTTCTACCAGCCTGCACCAGTGTCCTCCCCCAGAGCGGCCTCCTCTCTGGCCTCCCAGCTCCCCAGGCCCCGGCAGGATGCTCCTGTGTGCTTGTCAGGACTTTGCTGTGGGCGACATGGAGTCAGGACTGTGATTGGGGTGCATGGCCGGGGTTGAACCGACAAGGCTTTGTCACTTCTGCCTTTGCCTGAAATCCTGCTGGGGCTGTCTCCCCTCTGTTCCGGGACCACCCATCTGCCCTGTTTCTGGGTCCCTTTGGCTCTTCCTAGGCACTTCCTAGAGCACTGGCCGTGGCGTGCTAGCACACTTCTCCCACACACTGCCCCGGCTGCAGTGCACGTGTGCAGTGCACGCTGCCCTCCAGCCCCACAGAGCCCTCGTGCCAGGCACTCCGGTGCCACCCTGCCACCATTCCAGGGCTCAGGGCCCCTTCCAGCCATCGAGATCTAGACCCTGGAGAGGAGGAACTGTCACCATCTGCCTGGGCTTGACTTCCATTCCCTCTGCCTTCTGGAAACTTCATTCTCAAAGATCAGCCCACACCTGCCCTCCTCTTGTTTTCTAGGCGGGTTGTGGCCAGTTCTTCACCGGCTCTCTTGTCCCGGGTGCGATACGTTGGTTCCACACTTAGTGGAGGCAGCCCCTGCCTTGAGCACTCAGAGGAGCAGGAGGGCCTGTCCCAGTCCCACTTCCCCTTCTCGCCTCCACACCTCTGCCTTGTTGCCTGGCTGGAAGGCCTGTGCTTGCCATCTTCCTGAGCTACTTGGTGGCCACCTGAGTTACCTTCTGGTGGTCTCCTTCGATAAATGACCAACAGGCCCTTGCAGGTGCCTTTGCACCTTCACCCTGGCTGACGGGCCGGGCTGCCCCTGGCTCCACAGGCCCCCAGCAAGCGGGCAGCGCGGGCTCCTCGGGGCCTTTCCTTGCTCGTCAGGCCTCATTCTGCAGATCCACTCAGCACACGCTTCCTGTTGCCCCCTCGTGTGCAAGCGTGTGGCTGCCAGGCAGGGCGTGCTTGGCACAGGCCTCTATCTGATGAAGGGACAGTCAGAGGCCACGTGGAGAGCCACCGTGTGGCACACGTCCAGCCCGGGTGAGCTCCGCAAAGCCCCATGCCGCACGAGCACAGCGTGGGCTGGACCAGCTCCTTCCACTCGCCCGGGGCCTCTGACCAAGTCCCACCCTTGGGAAGGTGTGCCTTGCACCGCTCGGGGTGGCAGGTGAGGGAGGCCAGGCCTCAGCAGAGCGGCAGGTGGCACGGTGCAACCGTTGAGAAAGATAGAAGTTGACCATGCTTGCTAAGAGAGGGCGCAAAGGGAAGGGGTAAGCCCAAACGTCAGGGAACAGTGCGTCTTCGCAGCACACGCCGTCGTTCAGGAGATGCACTCCCACAGGGAGCACACATGCTTCCCCAGACACTGAGACATTCATCGGAGCAGCTCTG